GGCAGTAGACTCTTGCCTGGAATATTTTTGTCAGTATTATTTCAACAGTGGATATATCATTACACTCTTTCCTGGTTTGTAAGATGTCATATAGAAGGTATGTTGTGATTCTTATCTTGTATCCCTTATATTTGAGCGTTTTCTTCTTTTTTGCTATTTTAAATGGTCTATTTTTTTATTTACCAGTTTGATTACTTTGTCTTGGCATTCTTTTGTTTGAGTCTATTTTGTTTGGTACTTTGGGACTCTTGAATATTTGCTAAAGGAACCTCTCTTAAGTTATCAAGAAAGTTCTCAGTTATTATTTCTTTGACCAGCTGTTCTTCTACATTTCCTTTTTTCTTTTCATATTCCTATGATTTGAAAATAATTTCTCTTGCTGTTATATATCAAGTACTACACATTTATTCCATTCATTTGCCTCTTTTTCTTTTTTCACTTTGTTATTGGTGATGGCTAGTATTTTGTCATCAATATCATTGATATAGTTCTCTATATCATGTTGAATTCTGTTACTGTGAATTGATATTGTATTTTTTAACTCCTTCAATTGTATTTGTATGGATTCTGATACCCTGGATCAGTTCATGCTTAAGTTGGTTGAATTTTCCCTCCAGTGATTGTTTTAGTTCCATGGGCATTATATTGGAGCATTTAATTTAGTTCCTCATAGATGAGGCTTGAAGGTTTATTTGTGTTTTGTGTTATTTGTGTTATCAGTGTTTTGCCAAGACTTCTCTCCCAGTCTGTCATAGCAGTTGAATTTGTTTGTATTACTTTCATTACTAAAGATTTGTAGGTGCTATGATTTCAGTTTCAGATGTCAGATATCCGAGGTCTGATCTAATTTGATACTTTTTGGCAAGTAGTTCTCATTATACTCTATTAGTCTAGCAATGTATGTGCCCGTACACTGTTGCATCACAACATAATGTGTTTGTGATGTCTAATATATCTAATATATTCGCTTGTATAGAAGGGTTAAACAGATATATTTGAGGAAATTCGTAAGACCCAATAGCCCTTGAAATTGGTGGTCAGAAGGGCTGGCATTGTCATGCAGAAGCTTTAGTACCTGCACAGTTTTGAGTTTGAGAGGGATTTGGGAGTATTTTCCTCGGTCCTGAATAGCAAGGAAGTAGCTGTAGATGGTGCAGGAATCATGTTGTGGGATGGGGGCTATTTCCCTTGATTCACCTGGGTGACGAAAGAGGCCAGTGTCAGTTTTTTGGGGCCTTTGGGGGTGTAATCTGTATTTGAGAGGGATTTTTAAAAAAATTTTATTGAATCACTGTGAGATAGTTACAAGCTTTCATGTGCCTTACAAGCGGCCAACATGGCCGACCCGAGTTCGATTCCTCCGCCCCTCTCGGAGAGCCCGGCAAGCTACCGAGAGTATTCGATATGCCAAACACAGTAACAACAAAGTCTCCAATGGAGACGTTACTGGGCCCGCTCGAGCAAATCGACGATCAACGGGAGGGCCTTTTACCTATGTTTGGGTTACAATCACACAATGTTCAAACATCCATCCCTCCACCAGTGCACATTCCCCACCACCAATATCCCCGGTATACCCCCCTTTCCCACCCTCCCCTGCATCCATGGCAGACAATATTCCCCATACTCTTGAGAGGGATTTTGGAAGGGTTTCCTTGGTCCTCGGCATTAAGGAGAAGGTCTCAGACTGATATCAAGTCTTGTCAGACCACAGTGCTATGGTGTTAGAAATTAACCATACAAATAAAGTGAGATAAAATGCAAACATTTGGATATGAGATAATGTGCTGTTATATAACTATTAGATCAAAGGGGAAATATAAGAAGTAAAAAGATTCCTTGAAACAAATGAGACTGAAAACACAAACTATCAAAAAGTAAATGGAAAGCGTTTGCGATACTAATACAAACGTTCAGAGCAATACAGGCTCATATCTGAAAAGAAGAAAATGTTCAAATTAATGGCCTTTCCACATTACTTCAGAAATGTTAAAAAGAACAACACACACAAGTCAAAGTAAATAGAAGGAAAGGAATTATAAAAATTACAGCAGAAATTATAGAAACCAAGAAAGCAATATAATGAATGGGTCAATGAAATCAGTAGATGGTTCTTAAAAAACTATACAAGATTGACAGTTCCTTACCTAAATAATGAGGAAAAATGATGAAAAATCCAAATAAATCAGATCAGCGATAAAAAGAAGAGAAAACAAAAGACACCTCAGAAATACAAAATGTTACAGATATGATTATCAACAAATCTATTACACTAAGCTGGAAAACATAGATGAAATCCTTGGTAATTTTGTAAATGATGTATACTAGGGGTTTAAATTCATTCTTAAACATTTGGCTTATCCCAATATCATTTGTTGAAAAGATGACATCTTCCTATGTAATAGTTTTGATAGGCTTGTTGAAAATCAATTGATAATAAATGTAATACATGATTTGTGAACTCATTCTATCCCATTGATTTATGTTTCATGATTTTTTTCCAGTACTCTTAACCAGGACACACTACTGCCTTTATATATTATGTGAGACCTCCTTGTATATTTGTGGCACCAGGCACAATAGATTGGTAGGGCAATAGCAAAGGACACTTTTCCCAGTAATTCAACAAATTGAGGCATATGTGCATGTGGAAGTTCCAGCTCCTGAACTAAACTTCTTTACTCAACTGTACTAATAAAAATGTGGTATAGCTGTGAGTCACAAATCCATCATAAGCTTCTATTTTGGTTGTTTGTGCAATATGATGTCATCACAGTTGATGACTGTTGCACTTCTGATGAGCTCTTGAAGGTCATTCAGAACTCCTTTAATCTCTTGCATAATGCTATCCTGTATGATAACTCCATTTTCTCTGCCAACCATAGAACTGCAGTTTGCAGCACACATCTCACACCAGTTTAAAAACATTAATCTGAATGTCAAGCATCTAGGGCTCCTTCGTATCTCAATGCCTATAAAACAAAAGCTTCTTCTTTCCGGCTTTGGTGGGTCAAGACTGGTGAGTCATATATGGTGATGGAGGAAGAGAGGAGTTTTTGGCTCATCCTAAGAAATGTGTTTGCCATATAAAACTAGTGATGGACTCCAAGTGTTCTTGCTTTTCCTTAGGTGAATGCCCAGCATTAGTAAATTCATTTATTGTATTTTATTTTACATTTTATTCCTGTAATGTTATTATTTTGGGGTACCCAAACCAGTTATTTTCAGGGATTACTCCTGTTCTATGCTCAGGTTCTATGCTCAGGTTCTATGCCCCTGGAGGGACTTGAGGGACAATATGTAGTGCAGGGGATTGAACTTGGGTTGACTGTATGCAGGTAATACCTAACCTGCTGTATTAGTTCTCTAGCCTTCTCTTTCTATTTTAATTGCTTCAGCAAGGACTTCCAAAACTATATCGAGTAGTTATGCTAATAGTGGACATCCTTTCCATGTACTTGGTCTTATAAGATAGGCTTTCTTTCAGTTATTTTCCATTATGATGTCCTGTGGGTTTGTTGTAAATGGCTGTTACTATTGAGAAACATCTTATCTATCTCCGTTTTATTGGGTATTTTAATTATAAATGGAATGAGATAAAATGTTTTACCTTGACTTTTGCTGATATGGTGTACTATGTAATTGATTAATGCATATTATACCATTTTTGAATGCCTGGTATAAATCCTACTTGATCACAATGTATGATACTTTTGATAAGCTGTTAGATTAAATTTGCTAACATTTTGTTGAAGATTTTTGTATCAGTGTTCATATCATTCTTTTAGTGGGTTTTTAAAATAACATCCGGGTATGATTTGGTACAAGGGTTGACCTCATAGAAATTCTTATGCGGAATTCTTTTTTTCTTTTGTTTCAGAGCACTTAAGTACAGGCAGTATTTCTTTGAAGGTTTGGTAGAAATCCATCTCACATGCCATTCTGTTCTTGGGTGACTTGTAGTTACTGTTTAAATTTCCTTAGTTGGAATTGGTCTGTTGAGGTTTTCTACTTCATACTAATTTAGTCTTGGAAGGTTATATGTTTCTAACAATTCATCCATTTCATATGATTTAGAATAACATTGGTTTGCCCTTCCTCCCTGGCCACAGGGAGCTTGGGTTTGTTGATTGCTCCCCCAACATGTCAATTACTTTTGCCTCCTGATCAGACACTGTTAACTTGTAAATATTGTTTTTCTCTTCTCCTTAATGTCCTTTGCATGGTTAGTTACTTCAGAGCAATTACTTTTTGTAGACACAGGAAGACAGTTAAAAAGACATGCTTTTGTAAGTTGGGAGTTAATTGATTCCAGATAATATTACCTCCTGGACATCTGCTCTCTCGACTTAAGTCTCAATTGCCTTCACTTCCTAGATCCCCCAAAACAGGGTCCCAACGAGGGACTGGATGGACCCAGGGCAAGTTGTGAGCTACTCTGGCATCAAAATGGGCCAGGCCAAAGTGCCATCATACTTAACTATAAGTTAAGAGCATGGTCATGGACAAATTCTGTCATAATACAAAAAGTAATAACAAGATTCAGACCCTGCTAGGGTTAGGAATGATTAATCTGGCCTGAGCACTATAATATGAGTCTGTGGCTGATGTCCCCAGGAGAATCACCCTACAAGCCTAAATGTGTCTATTACTGTGTCCATACAGAATGGCAAATGTTAGGAAGTTGAATTAAGATGTTTATTAAGTTACTGGTCTAAGGAGAGGAGAAACACACCCTAAGTGCTGTTTAGCCCTAGTGGGCTGCAGGTGGTCAAGAAGGCTTGATAAACATATCAATTGCTCTTCCGGGATGGGGGGGAGGTGTGGTTTGGGAGGCGTGGTTAGAGAAGAGGTGGTTGAGGTGGTGACTGTAGCAGAGTTGGGAGTGGGAGAGAGGGTTGGAGAGGAGAAGAGAAGAGGTGGTTGAGAGGGTGGCTGCGAACTGAGCTGGGTGTGGGAACGTGAGAGACAGAGTTGCAGTGAGAGTTGGGGAGAACGTCATGGAGCGATTTAGAGAAAGAGTTGTGGAGAGTTTGGGAGAGATGAGAGATGTAATAAACGGTAACTGATCACCAACCAGCTTGGCCCTCGTTCCTCCTTTGTCCAACCATTGCAACAGCTATCCTTGATGCAGAAGCGGTTCGAGAGCACCAAACGCGGGTAATGAGAGAGGGTTGCCCGAAGAGCCCGCGAACATGCGTTAATGTGTAATCCCCCATAGCGTCACCCAAGTTAAGGAGTTTACACAGCTCCTAGTTAAGGGATTTACACAATATGGGTTCTTCACTTTGGTGGCATAAAGGTTTTATTATTATGTTTTGTGTTTCTGGTTACCTATTGTAATTTCTCCTCTTTCATCTCTAATCCAAGTTATTTGGGTTTCTCTATTTTTTCTCATGTAAATTAAGAGATTGTAAATATTGTTCAACATTTTGAAGATCAGCTCCTGGTTTTGTTTATCCTTTGTGTAGTTTTATTGTTCTCTATATCATTAATAAAATATGTTCCTACTTCATTGCATGTAGAAATGCAAAAGGAATTATTTTGCTTTGTTTGTTTTGGTAACACCCTAAGATGCTCAGGGGACAACATGTTGGTAGGGTTACCAAGAGCTCCATCGAGCAACGTATGCATTATAAAACTTTGAGCCACCTCTGTGATCCAATAACTAAAACATATTTTATATATTTATTTTGAAACATGACATTTTATTTTATTTATTAATTTATTCTTAGACTTCTAACACTTTCATTAGTTTAAACAATTTTGTTTGGGGGCCATACTTGGCAGTGTTCAGTGTTTACCCCTCTTCTGCACTCAGGGACCAGTCTTAGTGGGTCTTAAGGACTACATGGGATGCCAGGATTGAACAAAATTGGTCATGTGAAAGGCAAGTATTCTATCCTCCCTATAGTATTGACCTAGTCCCCAATTTTTAATAAATAAATTTGGGGCCGGAGCGATAGTACAGCGGGTGTGGCGTTTGCTTTGCACGTGGCCAACCTGGGTTCAATCCCCAGCATCCCATATGGTCCTCTAAGCACTACCAGGATTAATTCCTGAGTGCAGAGCCAGGAGTAACCCCTGAGCATCGCTAGGTGTGACCCAAAAAGCAAATTAAAAAATCAAATAAATAAGTAAATAATAAATTTAAATGGGGTAAATGTCTTTTAGTGAACTCTTTAGGGTTTGTTCATTACATTATCATGACATCTGCAAGTATTGATTGTTTAACTTCTTTTCAAATTTTTAATATTTGTTCTTTTTCTTACCTAATTATATGACTAGACATTCAGATATCATGTTGAAGAATGGTGATGAGAGCCTTAGATGCATTAGCAGGAGATGCAGACATGGTATTTTTTAGTTCACAGAGGTAGGGCAATTGCCTTGCACGCAGCCGGTTGTGATTTCTCCGCCCCCCTCGGAGAGCCCTGCAAGCTACCATGAGTATCTCACCCGCACGGCAAAGCCTGGCAAGCTACCGTGATGTATTCGATATTCCAAACACAGTAACAACAAATCTCACAATGGAGACATTATTGGGCCTGCTCGAGCAAATTGACGAACAACGGGAGGACAGTGCTACAGTGTTAGATTGCTACTGCTTTTTTTTCTATATCTCATATGGTCTGATAATTTCGCATCTTAATTCTCATGTTTCTATGAATTATTTTATCTTTAATCCAGTAATTGTTTAACATTCTCGCATTTCAAAAAGATTGGTTTTTTCCAGTTTTTATTAAAAAAATTGTGGGGCTAAACATGGTGGTAATCAAGGCTTACTCCTCTCTCATGGTGAGTGCTTTACCCTCTACCAACTCTCCAGCACCCCAGTCCAGATTTTATTTTTTGGTTGATTTCTAGAATTATTACCTTTTGACATGAAAAGTATTTTATTTGATTTCAATATTATAGTCTCTGGGTCCCGCCAGGGGCAGTTGGTGGGTGTAAAGCCTACATACTGGAAGATGGGAGTTCTGGGTGGAGGAAGCCCCAATCCCAAATCGAGCAGGCTTGGAGATCTACACCCCGTCCACAAACTATAAAACCATGCTCCTGGAAGAGAACAGTGCAGAATCTCCTGCCTCTGAGCCTGAATGTCCTCACCAGGGCCACTTGGAGTAGGGTGGGTTGAGATCCCCCCACCCTGAGCAGATCCCTGGCAGCTGAAGACCTCCGGTTCCAGCCACAGCCAGGCTTAAGACCACTCTCCACACGTTCGGATGAGTCTCATGCAAGAAGGAACTGGCCGAGGAACACAGGTGTGCAGGACCCGGGACGTAGATCTCCAAGCCTACTCGGATTGGAACTGGGGCCTTCTCCACCTAGAACCCCCATCTTCCAGTATGTAGGCGTTACACCCATCAACTGCCCCTGGCACCGTGTAATCCCATCAACGGCCAAGACTCAGAGACTATAGAACCCAGCTCCTGGAAGCGCGCAGCCGTGAATGACATCTTATTATCTAGTTCTTACTCTGGAGAACCTGGCAGGCTACCAAAAGTATCCTGCCCATATGGCAGAGTCTGGCAAACTCCCCGTGGCGTATTCAATATACCAAAAACCAGTAACAATGATGGGTCTCATTCTCCTGACCCTGAAAGAGCCTCGAATGTGGCACTTTTTAAAATCTCAGGACTAGGACGAAGGAGACGTTACTGGGGCCTGCTCGAGGCAATTGATGAACAACAGGATGACAGTAATACAATATTATGTCTTTCTTGACACTTTTGTTGTTTCTATCTAGATGTTCCACATTATTATGTATTTGACTGCAAATATTTACTGTCTACCTATTACACGTCCTCATTTAAAGCTTTTGCTTATTTGCTGATTTTCTGTGTGGTTGATTTGTTCATCAATGATAGTGGAGTTTAAAGACCATAACAACTATTGTGCTACTGTCTATAGACTCTTCAAATATGTTAATGAATGATTTACATATTTTTGTTGCACCTTTATTTGGCTTATATATGTTAATGAATGCTATACCCTCTTGATATATTGATACCTTAATCATTACACAATATCAATATCTGTTACTTATTTATAGTTTAAATATATATTTCAACTGATATGAGTATGGTGATCTTTGCCTCTTTATGCTACGATTTTTTGGGAATTTTTTAAAAATAGAATCCCAGTGAGATACACAGTTAAAAAGTTTTTCATGATTGGGTTTCAGTCATACAATGTTCCAACCATCATCAATTCACCAATGCACATTTCCAACCACCAATGTCCCCAGTTTCCCTCTGGACCTCATCCCCGCCTGTCTCTATGGCAAACACTTTTCTGTCCCCCACTCTACACTTTGGGCCTAATAGTTTGCAATACAGATACTGAAAGGTTATCAGGCACTTTACCTACTTTCAACACTCAGTTCCTTTCCAAAACAATCATTTCCAACTATTTTTGTCATATTGGTTTCTCTCTCCTAACTGCCCTTAACCCCCAGACACACTTGTGGCAAGCTGCAGTGAACACAGAAGTGCAGATGGCATTTCTGCTGTGTGCTTTTGGGGCCCTGGGTTTTTTCTCAGAAGTGGTAATACTGGGTTAAATGGGAGCTCAATTTCTAATTTTTTGAGGAATGTACATATTGTTTTCCAAAAAGGCTGGACATCTCACCACCAGTGAAGAAAAGTCCCGTTCTTCTGCATCCGCTCCAATGTTTGTTGCTCTTGTTCTTTTGTATGTGTGCCAGTATCTGTGGAGTTAGATGATATCTCTTTTTGATTTGCATCTCCCTGATGATTAGTGATAGTAAAGTAAAGTAAAGGCCCTCCCGTTGATCGTCGATTTGCTCGAGCGGGCCCAGTAACGTCTCCATTGGAGACTTTGTTGTTACTGTGTCTGGCATATCGAATACTCTCGGTAGCTTGCCGGGCTCTCCGAGAGGGGCGGAGGAATCGAACTCGGGTCGGCCATGTTGGCCGCTTGTAAGGCGAACGCCCTACCCGCTGTGCTATAGAGCATTTTTTCACGTGCTTTTTGAGAATTTGTATGCCACAAAATAGGAGAACCTAGAGAAATGGGTAAATTTCTAGATTCCTATAACCTCCCAAGTGTGAACAAAGATTTGGAATACCTGAACAAACTAACCACTATAGAGAAAATTTAAACGGAAATCAAAAGTCTTCCTGTAAACAAAACCCATGCCCAGATGGATTCACTAGTGAATTATTCCAAGCTTTTAAAGATGACGAAATACCAATATTTTTCAGACTTTTCCAGGAAACTGAAAAAAAACATAAACACTTCCAAACAATTTCTATCAGACAAATATCACTCTAACAACAAAAGCAGAGAGACCCCACATAAAGAGAATTACAAGCCTATTTCCCTGATGAACCATACAAAGATACTCAACAAAATACTAGCAAACATAATCCAATGACCCATCAAAAAGATCATAAACCATGACCAAGTAGAATTAATCTCAGAGATACAAGGAGGGTTTGACATTTGCAAGTTCATGAACATAATACACCATATCAATAAAAGAAAAAATAAAAACCATATGATAATATTGATAGAGTCAGAGAAAGCATTTGACAAGATCCAGTACCAATTGATGATAAAAACGCTAAACAAATTGGGATTTGAAGGAACTTTCCTCACTATAGTAAAGCATCTGCTACAAGCCCACAGCAAGAATTATCCTCAATGGGGAAAAATTAAAAGCCTTTCCTCTAAGATCAGGCACAAGACAAGGTTGCCCACTCTCACCACTTCTATTCAATATAGTACTGGAATTATTGCCATTATGGTTAGGCAAGAAAAAGCTATAAAGGGCATCCAGATAGGAAAGGAAGAACTCAAGCTCTCACTATTTGCAGATCACATGATACAGTACTTAGAGAACCCTAAAGATTCAACCGAAAATGTTCCTAGAAACAATAGATGTGTATAATATCACGTTACAAAGTCAGTACCCCCCCCCAAATCCATGACCTTTCTATATACAAATAATGAAAGAGAAGAAAGTAATATTTTAAAAAGTCCCAACAATGAATGAGTGTCCTTTTCTTCCCTCATCTGCACCAGCACTGGGT